CTATTTCTCCTCCCAGGGACTCCAGAGGGGTTATGGGAACTTGGGGGGTGTCTTTGTTCTTGGGGTCCAGGGTGACTTGTCTGAAGTTGTTTCTCCTGCCCAGTGTACTCAAGGCCACTTTTGGCAGCCACCTTTGACCCCGAAGCAACCACTGCCCTGGAGCCTGCTGTGACCCACTGAGAACTGGGAGGCAGTGCCGATGAACTGCGGGATCTTCCCGGACCATAACCCTTTGTGGAGACAGACAGCCTCATCTTTCTCCCCTGGAGTGGCTGGTGGGCTTGAACCGCAGACCTTGCAGTGAACTGTCCAGTGCCTAACCCACAGGCTACCAGGCTCCTTCCTGTACCTCAGTGGTGGGGACGTCCAGCCCTCAGGCTGCGGAAGGCCCTGGAACTCATCAATACTGCGCGCAGCACAGCCTCACATGACCAAACCCCAGGCCAAACTCCCTGCCAGGGGTCCACGCTGACTCACAGCCACCCCTGAAAACAAAACAAACAAAATCCACGCTCACCGCCCTTGAGTCAATTCTGACTCACAGCGACCCGACAGGGCAGGACAGACAGACCCGGTGGGCTCCTAAGACTCCCACTCTGTACCTGAGTAGAAAGCCTCCTCTTACTCCGGCAGAGTGGCTAGGTGGTTTTGAACTGCTGACCTTGCAGTTAGCAGCCTGACTTGTAATCACTACACCACCGGGGCTCCTATACATTAGGGGCGAGTTCCCTAATTATATGACCAACTCTAGCAGGCTAATGTTTAAGTTGATCATTTTGTGTGGCCTGTGAACGAGGTCATAAAGGCCCCAGGGGCCCTCGGCAGAGAGATGGCTCCCCCATCCTGCTCGATGTCCAGCCGTTGGTTGGTGACCTGTGACCTGGACCTGCATGGTTGACTTCCAGAAGTTGGAAATGTCAGCTTTGGATGACCAAGGGGTTAGACTCTGAGCCGCACAAGAGGCTCTCTGTCCGGTACTGGCCCAAAGCGAGGCAGGGGAACCTGCTAGAAATGATGCGGACAGGCTCATGGAGAGAGTCTCTGCTTCCAACACCCCCCTGCCCCCCCGCCCCCCAGGACTCGGTACCTGCACAGGGACATCCAGGCAGCACCCTGGTATTGCCACCTCGCCATCGGCAGACAGACCTGGCTGTGTCTGTTGCCACGGAACACGAGAAGCCAGCTGTCCTAAAAGCACCAGGCACCCTCCCTGTTGCCACTGGACAGGCTGTGCCAGGGACACTGGAGAGGGGCCCGGTTCTGCGCCCCACCCCCACCCGTGCAGGGACCTGGGGGGTCAGCCCTGGCCGGGGCTACTTTCATCCAGCTATGAGACTGATGTTATTTACAAAGATTTACCAAGTTCCTGGGAGCCTTACTGCATGTTTGCTTTTTGATTCGAGCCTGATGCCCTTGGGTCCGTAGGTTTTCAACCAATGCCACGGCTCAGAATCCACTCCGGAAGCTCTGAAACGCCTGGGGCTCCACGTCCCCAGAGCATTGCACTGGGATGTGTTGGGGGGGGGGGGGGGGGGGGCGGGGCGCCGTTTGCCTGGCACATTGCCCAGATGATGGCAAAGCTCCCTGCCACTGAGTTCACACCAACTCTTAGCATACCCTGTCTTCAGACAAGTGCTCACGCCCCCTAGAGACGCAGCATGGACCTCACCCAGCAGCTTAGGGGCGCACAGACCCTCCAGGCCCACCCAAGACCAAGTCAGAAGATTCCACGTCCTGCTCCACAGGGATTGGGAGGGGTCATGATACTTGAGTTGTGGGGAGGGGAGGCTGGTTCAGCCACCTGGAATCGGAGCCAGTTCTCACACATGACAACAAACAACTAACGCACAGGCAGGGGGGCAGGAAGGAGACAAGGGTCACTCCCCGTTCCCACCTCCACTGCCTGACGGATGGCCATGCCGTGGACAACCACCGCGCTCCCATTATTACAAAACAAAACAGCCTCACGCCCTCGGGTGGATGCAGTCCCCCAGGACAGGGTGGACCTGCCTGTGCCCATGTCCACTGCTGCGTCCATCTCCCTGAGAGTCTTCCTCCCTTTTTTTTTTTCCCTTCGACTCTCCACTTTACCAAGTATGGTATCCTTTTCCAGGGACTGGTCCCTCCTGGTCCCATGTCCAAGTGCGTGAGAGAAAGCGTCACCATCTTCCCTTCCAAGCTCGGCTGTTTCTAACGCGGGCTTATTCTTCCGGGAGGGCGCGGTATATTGAAGAGTCTTCCCCAGCCTCATACGCAAAGGCTTCAGTTCCTCGGCCGTTTTCCTAGCCCCTGTGCAGCTTCCCCATCCACATGAGGTGATGGAAAAGACGGCGGCTTGGGGGTGGTCAGGTCAGTTCCGACTCACAGTGACCCTCCATGCGAAAGACCACAGCCCTGCCCCATCCTGCATCGTCTCGCAGGTGCTGCTGTATCTGAGCTTTTATTGCTACCACTGTGTCAATCCATCTCGCCCAAGACCTCCCTGTCTCTCAGACCCTCTACTTTCCCAAGCCTACGGCCCTTTCCAGGGACTGGCCTCTCCGGGTAACATGTCCGTAGCACGTGAGAAGAAGTCTCACGCCCTCTGTTCCAGGGGGCACCCTGACTGGACTTCCAGGAAAGAGGTGTGGGGCTGCTCTGGCAGTCGGCGGTACTTTCCAAGCCCGGAACTCCAGTGCCTCGATTCCTCTCCAGGAATCACATGCATGTGATAAGGAGTGACATCACTGTGGCTGGGGACAGGGGCACCTTAGTCCTTGGCCTTCCACACGCTAAAGAGGTCTTGCACAGCAGACAGACCCCGTGCAGTGCATCGTTTTGAGCTCCTGACCGCTGCTTCCAGGATCCAAGCAGGACGAGGCCCTTGACAACCGCTTAGCACAGAAGCACTGGCACCATGATGAAGCCGTGGGGAGCCATGGGTCAGGTGCTGGGCTGCCCACAGCAGAGCTGGCAGGGCAAGCCCCAGAAGTGCACCCTGCGAGAAAGAGGAGGCTGCCCGCGCTCATAAAGATGGATGGTTCAGAAGGCCCGTACCAAGGGCGGCTCTGAGCCGATCCAATAGCAGTGGGTTGGGCTGGGTTGGGTCGGGGTTTATTCTACTATGGATTCCTGGGGCACAGCTGTGAAGCCCTGGCTGCTCACGGAGGCTGCTCGCCGCCATTGTTGCTGCTGATACACCGGGGGCTGTGGAGGCCGCTCAGCTCACTGCAAGCCCACGGGACAGAGCGAAACCACACCACTAGGTATTCCGGGCCCTCAGCTTTCATGGGGCCGGTCGCCAGGCCTTTCTGCCTCGGGTGGGGCAGCTGAGTAAGTTCGAACCCCCAGTCTTTTCACTTGCAGCTGAGACAACTCAGGTAACGCGGTGTCGCGTCGAAAGCAGCCGTGGTGGCGCTGAGGCTAAAACGCGTGGCTGCTAACGGAAGGTCAGACCCACCAGCCACGCCAAGGGAAGCCTGTCACGCGGTCCCACTGTCCCGCAAGGTCAGCAGGATCCGCATAGACGGGTTTCGGTTATGGGACAGCACCGCTGTCTCGTTATGCGTACTAAACTCTGCGAGTCTGACATCACACGTGTGCATCTCAAAACCCATTGCCATCGAGTTGGTTCCGACGCTGAGACCCTAGAGCAGCGGTTCTCAACCTCTGGGTCGAGACCCCTTTGGGGTCGAACGGCCCTTTCACAGGGGTCGCCTAAGCCCATATTTCCAAAGCCTTTGGGAACCGAAACCCCGCTCCTCTATCCGTCTCCAGGCGGGTCCGCCCACGTGCAGATATGCAGACGTGGTGAGAAAGAAGCTATCTCAACCTTCCCACTGACTTTTTACACACACTGTTGCAAAATGTAGCAATGCAGTTTACTGTTGTTATGTTAGGACTGTTACCCAGGCTACACCACACTGCAAGACAAAATTTCATTTATTTGCAATTAGAAATAAACACTTCACAATATCTAATGACATATTGTTTGCTAAGAATCACTATGCTTTAATTATGTTCAATGTGTAATAATGAAAATACATCCTGCATATCAGATATTTACATGATGATTCATAACAGTAGCAAAATAACAGTAATGAAGTAGCGACAAAAATAATGTTACGGTTGGGGGGTCACCACCACATGAGGAACCGTGTGAAAGGGTGGTGGCTCGAGGAAGGCGGAGAACCGCTGTCCTACAGGCAGAGGGAGCGGCCGCTTTGGGCGTCCAGGGCTGTCAATCTTGACAGAAGTAGAAATCCCTGCTGTTCTCCCCTGGAGGGGCTGGTCCATCTGAACGGCGGACCCTGCAGTTGCGTGTAACCAACTGTGCCACTGCACAGGGACGTTATCTCTGATGGCCAGGTGGGGTCTCTGGACCGGCTTCCACATTTGCACCTGTCACTTCACCTTTGAGAGATCCTGCCCCCAAAGAGCTCCCACCTTCGAGCCGCCCCGGGG